TTGTTAGCCGTATCAGTTAAGGACGGAATAGAAACCTGGTGGTTTTTTCTTAAATAGTTCTTTATAAAGCTTTCCACTTTTTGGAGAAACTATTCAGGTGTATAGATTGTGTTTCATAATACTTTTATTTCCCTAACTTACACGCTTCTTCAAAATCTTCAGCTGCTGTTTCATAAGCTCTTAACGCGTGAATGGATAAAAATATGTTTTATATAAATTCTTGCGTTTTCTAAGCAACAGTCTGAAATCATTGTTAAACCAAGAGACGTCCTTTGATGTTATAGTAACTAGTTTGTTATGTATGACATTAGAAGCAACTCGTAAAAACTGTTCACTTTAGTCATGATGGAATTTGCGTGTCTTAATATGATGACAAGAGAAATAGGAAAAAGAAACGAAAAAAAAAACATTTTTTTCTACAAGGACCAATGCTAAAATTCAAAACAAGACAGTGAGGCGCTTTAATCAGACTCAAAAGAAATAATGCAAGGATAATGCATTTATTTTGACAGTTGCGATTTTTCATTTCGTAAAATAAAATCGACCACTTTTGGCCAAAATAATGGGTTTATTTGTTTGTCGTTCTTAATAGCATTAAGAAGATTACGACAAAGTAATGACATTGAACAAGAGCTTATTGAAATTCAAACTGAAGAAAATACACAATCAACGAAAAATCTTAATTTGATAGAATTGTTACGTCATTCTCGATTTAAATGGCCAATAATAACATCATTGGTATTAAATGCTATTCAACAACTTTCTGGTATTAATGCAGTAAGTATACTCTCATCTCTGAGAAATAGATATTAATATATTTTTACTTTAGGTATTTTTTTATTCTGGTGATATGTTTTCAGCTGCCGGTTTAAAAGAGGAAAAAATATTTTATGGTATTCTAGCAACTGGAGTCATTAATTTACTTGCAAGTGAGATTAATCAAGAAAAATTTAAATTAATTTATAATATTTATGTCTATTTTTTTAGCATTACTTTCTCTAAGATTAATTGAATTACTTGGACGACGACCATTAATAATATGGCCAATGACTCTTATTGTTCTTCTCATGGTTGTACTATGTGTATTAGTCGAAGTGAATGTGAGCTATTTATATCGATCATTTCGTTATGAGAACGATCTTATTTTTCTTTTATTACTAGAGAAGAAAATCTCAAGAAGGAATCGCTATTGGTGCACTCATATTGATTTTGATATTTATCATTTTATTCGCCATTGGACTGGGTATGTTGGACTATGAATACATAAGAATAAATCAGTCATGTTTTTCATATAGGTCCTATTCCAACTGTCTATTCCAATGAAGTATTTGCAATTGAAGCAAAATCAGCTGGTTTAAGTTCAGCAATGTTTATCAATTGGTTTTGTAATTTTCTTGTAGCATTACTATTTTTACCATTACAGATGATTATGAACGGATATGTGTTTCTACTCTTCTTTGCTTGCGTTGCTGCGGCATTTGGTTTATTATTTTTCAAAGTAAGTTGACAATCATTTTTTGTGCAATAAAATATTTTTTGTGAGTCAAGGATTCTTAAGAATGAGTGATTTCTTATCAAATCACGACGCTTCATTTGTTCCAAAAGCTATTTTTTCTTCATAGACTCGAGTAACGGGGTCTCTAATATGTTGGTGTTGTGGCTGAGAATTTTCATTAGTCTAAGTCTATATTTTTACCAAAACTATTATCACTTCATGGATATTGTTACTATTTTAGATGCCTGAAACAAAGAACAAGAAATTACTAGAAATTGAATCATTTTGGAAATGAATGGTTCTTTCATTTGATAAATCAAATATTGAATATTAAGAGATCTTACTGCTATTCCATGAAAAATGTCTCTATTATTATTCATTTCTGTTTATGTCAAGGGCTCTCTATTTCAATGATACAAATATTATATCATCTATCCATTATTTATCTAAATGCTAAAATTATAAATAAAAAAGTTTATGAACGCTCTGTTTATTGATTGCATTCTAACTTATTTTTATTGTGATTTACAGCTACTTAATGGTTGTCGCGTTCATATTTATCTTTATGCGTATGTTCGATCCTTCCAAATAATTATCCTTTTTTGAGATATGCATAATGATCAATTTTGAGAAAGATTTACATGTTATCTGATAGACACTCAATATACCGAAAAAACCTGATCTATAAAACATAAAAGTACTGTAAAAAAAACGAGCGTAGAAAACAGGCTGTAGCAGTCTCAGCATGATATTCACTGTGCGAGCAAAGTCCTCCCTTTTTAGGATCGTTTGCGTGTGTTTATGTATTATGGTACACAGAGCTCAATGACCCGTCGAATAGATAGTATATTTATCTCCTCAGCTTATCTCATCTCGTTCATACGAGAGAGAAAATTAACCACAGTGTTAAAAGTTCGTTGAACGTACTGTATTGTATAATTTGTAAAGTTTCATGCATGTTGAATGACTATCCATTTGTAGACTAGGATTTTATCATGCTTAAAGTTCATCACTTAGTTAATGAATGGTAGATTTTATAACAGTCCTTAAGTTTAAAATATGTTTGTACATGATTTGCATGAAGAAAAACAAAAAGCTTATAGTATTTAAGTGAAACATTTTACTGGGATGAAAACTCAAATAAAAACCTAGAATTACAATTCTGCAGTTCTTTGATTAGATTCATATGCTCTAGCATGAATTCTGAATAGATATGAATATCGTGTAATACAATAAAATGTTTTTCAATAATAACGAATATCTTGAACTTTTAAATAGGTCAAAATTCATGTAGCAACTTACAACTTTCAGTTAAAGCTGATTAAAAAACTGCATTGATTCTTTACGAATAAACGTTAGACGGATATAAAATTTGTGGATATGTATATTCCAACTACAGAGATTACTATAATGATTATGTATGACTTTTTCCTTGAACATATGTTTCAAATTCAAAAAAGCGGAACATATACACTTGTAACTAGAAACTATTCTATGTAAACTATACTTCAACATTTTAAAATGTTTGAATTTCTTTTTGTATTCTTTTCTTCTTTACATTCAATAATATTCCTGCTGTTGAAGTATGCATGATTAAAATATTCAGGGTAAATAAAACACAAGAGAAGAAAACGAAAAGTCATTAGACTAATGTGGAATTAATTACTGTGTATAGCTGTACATCTCTGTATCATCAAAAACTGTTTATTTTTCATGTTATGCATACGACAGAAAACAAAATTTTATCTTATAAGTTTACATAATAACGGGTATGCCATAGAGAATTACAGTCTTCGTATTTTCAGTTTTTCTTCAGTTTCTTACACTTGATCAAATTCATTTTTTTTTTATCAAAAGATTTCCCCCGTTCAGTCTCTACAAAAAATGTATTGACTGTTTTATTGGGAAGTCTGAAACCAAAAAATGACATCAGAATTTCTGGCAAGTATCAAAATGGATAAGAAGAGTAACGTATTTTAAGTATAAAACTTGTTTTCAAATTTTACAACATCCGACAATATAGATTACTCATTTGTCTTCAAAATAAACAAAATTCAATATTTTCACTTTTAGGGAAGCCGGAAAAAAATAACAAAATATTTACACCTTTAATTCTAATTATAGAAACTTTTAATTATAGGTGAAAGATAGAGCTTTACACCATGGCTACATTAGCTGTTTTTTTCTTTTACAAACGTTTAACGAATAAAATAAATAAAACTATATGTTAACTTGTTGTTTATCCATATTGATATCTGGTACAAATTCATGTCCTTTTTCACCTTTAGGTTTCTCAATAAAATAGTCAATACACTTTTTATAGAGATTGAACGGGAAAAATAAGTTTGATCAAGTCCAATAGAGAGAAGAAAAATTGGAAATACTGAGACTTCAATCCTTATGACACACTCGTACACTCTTTGAATGAGTTTTTTTTCGACCTTCTTCTGACGTGTCTTAATTCG